ACATAATATATATGTATATTATACTATATCTTAAAAATTGTTAAATTGTTACTAAGAATTGCATACTAATAGGTCAGCACAGGGCTAGATGATAGTATATGTGATCACTTTAGGTGCTCTCACCACCTTTATAAAACAAGATGTTTAAATTTCAAGCTACACCTTACTAACATGTTATCATGCATGGAGGAAATTGTTATAGATCTGATAGGACTCAGAAACTGCTGAGGTACCCATGGACATTATATGACAGTCTCCAAATCCTTCCCTTTTGCCCAGATCTGGAGACAATCTGATGGACATTGAGCAATCACATTGTCATCTGATGGAATTACAAGTATGATTGCACGAGTATCTTTATTATAGTATTTATTTTGCTAAAACTATGTATTTACAATCCGCAGGAAAAAAAGAAGAAAAAGAAGGACAAAAAATAGTGTCTCGACCCTGGCCCTTACCTCTTTTACAATGTAACTCTTGTTTTATTGCATATGCAGTTTACGTCTGTTTTATATTGTGTTCTGTATTTAGCTGTTATGAGGTTCTAAATAAAAATAAAAACTTAAATTCTTACATTTGGTGTCATTTTAACATGATTGCATAGATAGCTGTAGTTAATAATGATACACAGAAGCCTAGAATATAGGCTTATATTCACATATATTCATTGCTTAGACAAAGTCCTCTGAGGCAGGAAGGTAAAGTGCTCCCTTTATGTTGGTGCTACAAAAAGGAACAAACACATTTTAAAAGTTTACATACAAATGGTAAAAAAGTAAAAATAACTAAGGGAAGATGATAAAGGAGTTAACAAAAAATTAGAGTTAACAGAACTAAAATGTTCAAGTTAATAAAAAATAGAGTTGGCTTAAGATTTTTCTGTGAGTTGTCACTTTGTAAAGGGGACTAGAAGGATGTTTCTGATACAAAGCATTTTATAATTTGGCACTACAAAAAAAACCCACAAGTTTTAAAAGGTTACATACAGGTAATAAAAAAATCACCAAAACAAGGGAAAAGGGAGAGCACATGACAGCTGGGCTGCGCTCTGTTCACCAGGGGTTCACAGAACTCCTGATACAGAGCAGGTGGCTGTCACGGACTAAGCTCTCTGTCAGTGAACCAAGAAACCAGACGGAAATTAAAGTGCAGGTAAAAAATAAAGGAGTTTATTGAAAGCGACAATAAACAAAAAGCAAAACAATAGGTAAATTCAAGCATAGTCGGAGCCGAGTCTGAGGTCAGGAGCCAAAGCGGGTAGTCAGCCGAGCCAGGTCTGGGAACGCAGAGAGCAGGATGTCATATGCAGGACTGGGCTAAGCCAGATGCTACTTCCACAGCGTCACCCAGGGTGCCTCTTCTGCCTCGGCCCAGCCATTCATATGGTGGATCTGAATAGGAGAATTGACTGTATTCTAGTTTTGGTTTATGGTTTGACACCATTGATGACAAAGAATCTCTATCATGAGCTGGCAGATCAAAAAAAATATTTTATGGAGAGCACAAAAATGCTATTTTTGTAAAAAAATTTTTAATGGACTATTGAGGGACGCAGAAATTCTTAGATTGTCGGATTTCTCCTGTAGGCGGCAGTATAACCCTATGTTTCTTAATGATCAAGCTGTGTACCTCAATGGACAAGAAAGAAAATAGGATTTTTGTATGCACAGTAAAATCCTTTTCTTGGAGTCCATTGAGGGACACAGCGTGATGATTATTAACCACTTCTGTGCCAGCATGTTGCATCCCCTTCATTACCAGGCCATTTTTCAGTTTTCAGCGCTGTGTAAGTTTGGCTGAGAATTCCTCCGTCACGCAACACTGTAACAAAATTAATTTTATACAATTTTCGGGGGACAAATAGAGTTTCTATTTTGGTATTTATTAACTTTTTTTATTTAAATTTTTACTGTATAAAGTAAAAAAGATAATTTAAAAAAAAAAAAAGCCTGTTTCTCTTACTTTCGTTTATAAACCGTAGCAAATATAAATGTCAGGACTGTATGAAAATCCCTGAAATGACACCTTCCTGGATCGGCTGTCACACGAGGCTGAGCAAGCTCGATCTCCTCTGACAGCTGACTCCTCCCCCACACCGCCAGTCTGGCCTCCTACGACAGCTGTCTCCGCCCCCACACCGCCGCTCTCTTAATCTGTCACAGGAGGCTTAAAGGTGCGGGGGGGGGAGATGCCGACTGCTCACAGCGTTCTCCTCCTCCTGCACCACTCGGCCTCCTGCAACAGTCTCTCTCCTCCCCCACTGGGACACAGATACAGAGCAGCACCCAGCAAGGAGGAGAGAAAGCAGGAATGCACCGCTATTTCGGCTGAAAGATGGCACTTTCAGCACTTTGCCAAAAGTGCCATTTTCGGGCCGAAATTCCGGTGCATCCCTACTTAAAAATGCATTCAAATACCTTAAGGGCTTGTTCACACCAAATCCGTATCAGATCTGCATGAGTTTCTGCACATGCTGTGCAGTATTTTTTGTCGCATTTTTGAGTGTTCCAGGGCGTTTGCATGCGTTTTTGATGCCTTTGCATGCATTTTGGTGCGTTCCAGAGCAGAAAAAATAGGGCATACTGCAGTTTTTGCACATGCTCTGGAACTTAACGCTGTGGTGTGATATAGGGCCCAAAAAACCATTGGAATACATTGGATGCATTTTTGATGCGGTCTGTAACTGCTCTGCATCTGCTCCGCACTTGGTGTGCACAAGCCCTAACTATTAACAAAAATGTATTTCATTTGTGTATCACTCGGCTTTAGATCCTTAAATTATCTCTGTATTGGTCCTGACACTGTCCTTCCTTCTGGAGGGTGGCTACTTTTGTTCCCCATGGTCCCTGTGCGTGTTGTAAAGTATCCAAGCTCGCTCCCATAGACTACAATCTCATGTTTAGTTTATTAATATGTATAGAGATTGTAGTCCATCACGGGGGCGAGCTTGGAGTGGTGACTACTTTACAACACACACAGGGACCATGGGGAACAAAAATAGTCACCCTCCAGAAGGAAGGACAGTGCCAGCACCAATTCAGAAATGATCTGAGGATCTACAGCTCAGTGATACACAAATAAGATACATTTGTGTTAATAGTGAAGGTACTTGAATGTATTTTTAAGATTTAACTACTGAGTTTAGTGTCACTTTAAAATGTGTATGCTTTACTAACACCTTTCACACTAACTTCCTGTATTGATTGAATGCATGATTACAGTTGTGTGCCAACATAAAGAAGCATATTGACGTTCCAGTGCAATAACAGTCCTTGCATACAAGACTATATACCGGTATTGACAAAGTGTATGATTAGATATTTCTGTGACAATGCGAACAAGCATACTAAAATTCAAGTCCAATAATACTGAGTTTTACACAAGATTTACAGTATATATACTAGAATTAAATTTTATGCCAATGTGAAAAAGTATATTCCAAGTTCCAAAGCAACGGTATTACCAACTGAAAAATACCTTATAGGTTATTAGGAGAGAGTTTGAAAAAATATTGTATGAATCTTTCTATGGTTAGAGTTGGACCATTGAATTAATATATGTATTGCTGATACTTTTACTGTAACTGAACTCTTACAACTATACTGTTGAAAGAGATGTTCATGCAGGGTTTTGATGGTTTTAAAGCCAAAATCCTGGAAAACTTTTTAAAATACCCCCTAGCACCCAAAAAACCCAATCTGGCTTCAATAATCAAGTAATCACCTCTATCCCTGTCCCTGTAGTTCCTATTTTTTGCCACAGGATGTCCTCAGCCTCTCAGGTTGAATGAAGCCCAGAATTTGGAATGTGTTAGGCCCCATTCACACCTATGCGTATTGTAATATGCGCGTCTGTCGCACGACCGTCACGCGGTTTTCTTACCGCGATTCGCGGTAAAAAAGCCGCGCGACCGTCGCGCGATTCCAAAGGCTACTTGGCAGTATACTAATGGAAAACGCCCTACAAAACGGACCAATACGCAGCAAAAAACGCTCCGGGACCTTTTCATGCGTGGGCCGTTTTGTAGTGCGTTCGGGACGGGCGGAAATACGGACAGGTGGGAACGAGGCCATTGACTACAGTGCTATTTATTTTTTTGACCGTTTTGTAGATCGTTCATCGAGCGTAGGACGCTCTACAAAACGGTCAGGTGTGAACCAGGCCTTAGGCTGGGCACACACCTTACAACCATCGCAAGACTTTTGTCTTGCGATGGTTGTAAGGTAATTTTAAAAACGTACGATCTGCCTATCTTGGACAGGCAGACCGTACTTTGATGATCGCAAGCCGTGCACCCCTGAGGGGCGGGCTTCCGATGACCGCAATGCCGTAGGGCAATGTGCGCTTGCGCACACCGGCCCGGCCGGCTTTTATCTTACGAACATGCTACACACCCGCCGAACATCGTACGATGCTCGGCGGGTTTTCGAGCATGTTCCTAAGATAAAAGTCGTACGACCTTACAGTAGTAGAGGTCGCACGGCTTCCACACAACTCACGATAATCGTACGATTGCGGGATTATCGTACGATTATCGCAAGGTGTGTGGGCACCTTTAGGGACAAATGCTTCTGTAATTCCAACTCAATAATTTAGAGTTCACATTCTAGTGACTCAGACGGTCTTAAAGACATAGGATCAGCATGAGAACTAGGAATCGAACATTTGCAGAATAAGTCTATAATGGCATACTCCATGTTTCTCTCAAGAAAGGCTTCCTCTATCAACAGATACAGTAATATGTTTTCCAGAAGATGCCAGAAGGGCAGCTTTGTACTAAAAAGCATAATAAAGCCTGCCTCTGGCCACCATCATTGTCATAGTATTATGGAGCTTATTATGTGTTTACCTCTGCAGTGTTCTCAGTTCATCTCTGATTTCTTCAGACAGCCTAAACACATTGCTTTCAGTTTTCATAGGATGGATTTATTTCCATCAATATATGTGCTGCATGTATGATAGACACCAGCACTGGTGCCTTGTCTTTGCGCTTGTCTATCATTGGCCATTCACAAAATACAACTTGTGGAGTGGAACACATTGCAATACAGAATGAAACACAGATTCCCCAACACATTTTCCAGCTAGTTAGTACAAAAAAGCCAATTTAAATAGTATACATCATTTTTATAAAGACACACAGTGGAGATCTTCAGCTGCCTGGAGAGATTTTGGACTTCTGGTGTATGGCTTCTGTACCTTTAAGGAGAGTGAGGCTACCTCCGAGACATACCTGCACTCCATTTATCCATTGCTATGTACAGTATGTCCCATGTTTAGAGTTATGAATCATACTTTAAAGAGGCGACTTGATGAAGTACTTTGGCTCTACATGTATTTAAAATATACAATATGCAACTAAGGGGGTTATTCACAAAAGGGTGAAGAGTTTGGAGAAGGCAGGAGAAATGAACAATCTAGGACAACAAAGCTGAACTGGAAAGTGAGCTGAATTGGAGAATGTTTTCCAAATAAGCTATGTTGTCCTAGATTGTTCACTTCTCC